GGTATATTTTGGGAAAAAAACGCTTGGACACGTCAATTTTGATTTACCTAAGGGACGTCTTTTCATCTACAGCAGTACAATACAAGGTGATCAAAAAATAGATATTGCGTTGCGATTTTTAAATGGATACCCCCTTTTTTATTTTTAGATTCTCCATGAAGTTTTTATATAGGTATACAACAGTGTATACTTATCTTAATCGTTGTGAAGCTATTTGAGTTTATAATAAAATTCTAGAAATTGTGATAATAAGGCATTATATCGTAAAAATAATAATCACTATAGTTTCTCATATTAACAGAATCAAAAATAAGTCTCCGAGTATTAAAAACAAAAAAACAACTTACAGTTTACACGCACATTAAAGTTAAACTAAAAATTAATTTGCTTTAAAGAGGTAGGTAATGTTGTAATAAGTGCTGAAAGTGGTGTCCAGTCACGTCCATGCAATAATAAAGATTTTGTTCGAATCTATTCCATACATTTTCAAGCATGTCATGAGTTATTTGTTTGCATTCAGCAGTAATCCGCTGACGAAGATCTTGAATGGAATCAGGCTTCATACATAAAAACTTTACTTTTCAAATGCCCCAAAAAAAGCAATCTAAAGTACTCAGGTCCGGCACGAGTATTATTTAAAAAACCTATAAAATGTCATCTTGCAGACTAGGTAGTTTTTAAGGTGCAAACAGTCATTCCACGTTAGCTCACTAGGATAGTTTTGAGCGTCCATCTATGGAGGAATGACAAAACTAAACTACACGCATTTTTGGTTGCATATGTTTTGAAAAGTCGAGTAATTTGTAGTTTTTATCTCTGAGATGATATGTGTATTGGTCTGCATGTGTATAAAATCAGTGATATTTGCTGTATGAAAAAATCATTACTGAATATGCTGCCAATGAAGTATATCTATTAGCTGTGCCCGACGTGGTATTTGTGTTGTGGTTTCTGAAGAGAGGTTATGTGCAAAGTTATAAATTACGAAGAACTTTGAGAATTACGGGAAATCACCACCGCGCCCGCGTTATGTGTAATTACTGTTAGCATGTATATGGCTTGTAATTCGATAGTGTACAGTGAATATAATTATTTCTATCTCTCTCATTTTTGGAATTCAGCAAATTTGCATATGCAATTTCCAGAATGGATAAGAAAAAGTGGATGCGCAACTACTTTCTAGCTTTGAATCTCAAGTAACTGTATCTGAGACTAGAATCCAATGGAATTATCATCAACACATACAACTTACAGCTTAAACCTCCAGTAAGGCCATCTCTGAAGCAGATTTCACATCACATCAGACCTAAACATTGGTAACTGAAGCCCATGACGTTTCGAAAACTCGTACAACTAAGTGCTAATAATAATAATAATAAGCGTTCATTGCCCAACAGTTTAACACCATTTGCAGAGCAAACTACTATAAAAAAAAACAAAATCACCATGAGGTAGCTTGTGAAGAAAAAAAAACAATAATAATTACAAGTTCATGTATCAATAACAAAAAATAAATATAAGCTAGAGCTTAAAAATGAGAAACGTAAGATAAATCAAAAGTGAGCACGCAATTTGCACTTCAATTCACCTATGCTACATAAGAATATGTCACATACATCGGCTATTTTATTCGCATTCACACACATCATGTTGACAGGCGCTTTCGACAATAAGTTTGTTTGAGCTCTTTGACATAAAAAATGAACATTATACCTTGATGTTAGTCGTGGTACCAGAAACTGTATTTGTGAAAGTATTGTAGGGCAGACTATTAGATTATGCAGTAATTTATATAAAACTATAACTGCTGACTGCTTACGCCATTGTTCTAAGGATTTAATGCCAAATTTATGAAGAAGGATGTTGCAAGACGACATTTATCGACCTAAAAATTTTAACTGTGCCATGCATATATATACTGGAATGTCTGATCCACGTTAAAAATAATTACAATGATTACAGAACTCCGACAGAGATTCACAAATATAACACAAGGTTCAACAATGAATTAATACCAGAGTACACAAGACTATCAAAAACTAGACACGGAAGTAATTATTTCGGTGTGAAATTTTTTAATGCGCTGCCCAAGTTTTGTCAAACACTCAACTGAACCATTTTTAAAGCAACTGTGAAAATATATCTAGTGACGAAAGCTTTTTACAGCATAGATGAGTTTTTAAATAATGATTTTACCGACTTTGTTCCATAATTGTTGACTATTTATTACTTTGTTTTCGTTTGTGTTTTTTATGTGTTGTTTTTGTATTATATTTTATCGTTCTCCAGACGTGTGTAAGGACTTTTGAGTACAAACATGAAAAAATGATTACTATTTCATAATTTTTTAACCATCTTATTTTATTGTTCATCTAAATTTTAAAATAGTTTTATCAAGTTTTTTTTACCTTTAATTGCCACTTTGTGTTTTACGTTTGTCTTATTTTCGTATTGTTTGTTACTTTTACTTACTCTTTTATGTTCTACTTTAAATGACCTGTGCAAACACATTTTTGTGTAATAGTACCAATAAATTATTATTATTATTATTCTGTACCTCTAGTAGGATGTGCCATCGATCTTAAAACATGAAAATTTTAAAAATGTCTTTTGAAGTTTATCAACATCAATATACTGCTTGTAAATCGGACTCCATATCAAAGATCCATATTCAAGCTTAGACCTAACCAAGCTAAAGTATAATGTCTGCAAAGTCAAAACGTCAAAAGATTTACAATTCCTGATAACGAAGCCATAGGTTCGGTAGCGCTTGAAATGAGTTGATTGATATGCTCATTAAAGGTTAGATGTTGATCAAAGTAGATACCTAGGTCTTTCACAGTTTCACTGCGCTCAAGAACATGTTCGATCATTGTATAATTGTATACCAAGGGTTTGGTTTTCCTTGAAAAAGTTACTACTTTACACTTACTTATATTAAGATGAAGTTGATTCTTGGCACACCAGCTTTGAAATTTATTTATTTGACCTTGAACAAATGCACAATCTTCCAAGCACGAAACGGATGAATAAAATTTTAGGTCGTCTGCGAACATTAACTTAGAACAAGCCAAAGATTCACACATATCAGTTCACAAACAATATGAACAACAGTGGACCTAAATTCGAACCCTGTGGTACGCCACTGGTTGAGACATAAACATGTGATATGTAGCCATTATAAAAAACATACTGTTTCCGTTCAAACAGATATGATGTTAAGAGCGCTAAGTAAATGTTGTTGAAGCCCAGGTACTCAAGCTTTCGGAGCAAAATACTGTGGCTGACCCTATCGAAGGCCTTGGAGAAATCGGTGTACACCACATCTACCTGTCCTCTATTGTCTAATCTATCGCACAAGTATTGGCTAAATACCATTAAGTTTGTTAATGTTGACATCTTGTAGACAAACCTACATAATGCCACAAAAAACAATGCAATGTCAAAAAATCGGCATAATGCCACTTTTCAAGATACGTAATACCCGTGCGGAGATTTCCGCGGCCACTCGATGAGGCCTTGTCTGTTGATCCACTGATTCGGGAAATGGGTGTCCATTAACTGTCGTACTGGAGCACATAGTGCGGCGGTGCACCATCTTGTTGAAAATGAGTGTAATTTTCGTTATAATTAACGTTATTTTCTATTATTTTCTAACATGTTCAAGTACGTCTCGCCCGTCAAGTTTCCAGGAATAAAGAAAGGCCCTACAATATGGTTTCCAAAAATGCCGGCCCACATATTTATTTTTTCAGGATATTGCGAGTGTACCTCTCGAAAAAATGTAGATTCGTGTCACTCCAATATCAATTAAGCCTATTTTCAGCACCATATAAATAGAACGTACACTCATCCGAGTAACAGATTTGCACTGTTGATTAAACATTAATTCCCAAAACTACAACCTTCTATCAATGTCGTCCTCATTAAGGTCATGGACAAGTTTTATCTTTTACGGGTGAAATTTATTGTCTTTCAAAATTCTTTGTACTGTTGAGCGTGCAAACCCTGAAGAAGTAGTCATTCCACGAGTACTTTGGATGTTGTCAAGTGCTACGTGTCCCGAAACTGCTATTTTTGCAGCTTCACTTCTAACTGGTAACTTTTCTCGATGGCTATTACGGCGAATATTAGACACAGATCCAGTTTCTTCAATTTTTTTTATCCGCGCATACTTATCGTTAATATTTTTGTCTGGATGTAACGCATTAAACAACCGGGCAGTAGCTTTTACCATGCTCCCATTTTGGTATCACAGTATTGTTATTTCTACCCTTTCTTGAATTGAATAAGTTGATTGTTCAATATTTATCACAACAAGGTAGATAACTTAACAATTTGAAATGAAAGACAAAGCTTTTCTATGACATACGATGACACTGACTGATGCTAAATGTTCTTGCTGGTATCCATGATTATTATTTTTTGCCGCGGGTTCCATTATTATCAGTTATGTTCGTTGAATTTTATTATAAACTCAAATAACTTCACAACGATTGAAGCTAGGTATAAACCTTATTATACAAAAGTTACTAAAAACTTCAAGGAAAATATAAAAATTAAAAAAATGGGGGTTTCCTTTTAAAAGCTAAAGCGTAACGCAATATCTTGGGAGAGTCACAAATGGGGATGCGACCTTTTCGTTGGGCCACCAGGATTGGTGCTAACTCATAAGGGTAGCTAACATGTATTTTAGAGAACCTACGAAGAAGAGTAAATTAAGATCCCATATTTATATATTTAGCACCTTATGAGAACTGTTTGTTAATTCTAAATTTCACATAGTGCTTGAAATTTTTCATTAGTACGGATTTATCAGAATCGTCGGTGTACGGACAAACCTACATCCATTTTTTTGCCGAAAGCCGAATATATTACCGAATGAGTCGGTCGGTTGGATCCATATAAAAATATGAATCATGATATCACGACTGCCAGGAATGCGCACACTTATCCTGCGTTCCTATTGATGTACCCGTTAAACGCGATTGCCTTTTCAGTCGATCAGGCAGCCACACAGCCCCACCACCAATCACAGAGAAGCGGTCTCGGTCGAGATCCGTCACTCGCACCCCAGAAAACAAACACAGGAAGAAGTCGAAGAAGCACAGGTCGAGGAGCAGGTCGCCGAGTAGGAACTACAAGAAAAGCCACAAGAGGAAAAGCTACTCAAGATCCAGAAGCAATTCGCCTCACTCGAAAACGAGAAAACGGTAAATATATATTTATTATATTATATACCTTTTCTAACAGTGACAAGAACTATACCGGATGCCCTTGCAGGTGGCTCACCCCTATAACTTTTTTATTTTTAAAGGTAGAAAAAATGAAATTTGGTATGTAGGTATATCGCATGAATATGCACTGTTTGACGTATTCATTTGTTTACTCTCACTTCCGGTTAGCCGGAAACGGCCCCCTTATTTGAATAGAAAATAACATTGCGTCTACAATGACGCTGCATTTGCTACTTTTTGACATCATCCAAATATTTGTAATTTTTAATCCAGCGTGCCCAGAAGACGATAAAATTGTATTTTTTTCATTAGTTTACCTATGGCGTTAACTCATGTTTTATCACACGGAAAAGGTGGCTCGTTGCACAGCAACAAAGGATTTTTTTCGTATTCATTTTTAATAAAATAATTTTATTAATAACGTAATAAATACAATTTCCCAAAACTTTCAATCTTCAGCAAAATAACGCACTGCTAACTAACTAAACTGTATAATCAACAATTAATGAAATATGTGAAATGTCCTTCAAAAATTCTGGGGCATAGAATCCTGTCTCCAAGAATTCACATCCAACAATTAAAACCAAAACGTTCTTGGAAATTTCCTTCGTCCATTAAGTGCAAATCAAATTTTCTTTACACCAATATCTTTTATTATTTCTGTTGCAAACGCCTAAATTCGTAAAGCGACTTTCGTCTGTATAACAAATTTTATAAGGAAAAGTGTTGTCCTCTTCGTATTTTTGTAAAAACCAGTTGTAATATTTAAGCCTTCATTCATAATCAGTTTCGTAAAGATGCTCGTGTAATTGATACTTGTAAGACCGGTATTTATGCTTACGTAAAATTCTCCAACCGTACAACCAGCAACACGGGTGCCTTGCCTTATTGGAAAAGATGGTACGAGATGGAAGAAACATCTTGGATTGAAGCGTAACATTCGAACTCGGCAAGAAAACCTCTACACACAATTACCAGGTCCCCGAGGCGAAATTTTGGGATTTGAACTTATTCAGGAACATAATTGTAAGAAGATATCTTCCGCAAAATATTCCTAGGACAATTCGTTGGAGACTTACCGAAATTTATGGAGGGAATGTAGAGAACTTACCCCCCTAGAACGCGACCCATGGGCGATGTGCGTTTTGTAGTAGTAGGAAAAACAGAAAAACTAGGTTCGTTTGTGCACAATGTAAATAATACATGTACCTAGAACATCTGACTGGGCTATGTAATGACTGCTACGCAGGAAAAACAGACGAATAAAGTTCCAGCCTGTCCAAATAATTTTGACTTCAATTTTGCTCTATTGTGTATTACTTGAATATTATCTTTATGTTACTTCTATTAGAAATGTAAATCACGATTTATTTTTTTTTTGTTTTTTGAAAAATATGTAATGATGTCAAACATTGCATGATATTTTCCAGTCTTATTTTTGTCCTCCTTCAAATTATAAATTTCACCATATATCAATGAATATTATCCTACAATAGTGTTAAATTTACTCTCAAATCAAAATTATCCCATACCAACTATTATACTCTTCTAGAACGCTACAGCTGTGGAAGGGGCTCACAGACTGATGTTACCAGTTGTGCCAAGTTTCGTGACGTTACCAGTGGAGGGTTAAACGAGTCTGAAGAGGCTATACTATGAACAACAAAAGACAATCAAACCTATTTTCATGTAACTGCTTAGTCCAAAATTTACCATTTTATCATATTCATAGCACACTGGATTGAAAAGTAAAAATTACAAATATTTGTAAGTTAGATGTCAAAAGATAGCAAATGCAGCGTCATTGTACTCATTACACTGCGGCCGTAATTCGCACCTATTTTACGGGCTTAATAGACACAATTTTTAAATGTTTTTTGCACCTTCCGTTAGATGATCTTATTTGGAACCAATATGTGCCGCTTAACTAGATCAGAAGTCAGCGATAACTGAGAAAACTGCACTTGCAGATGAGGCCTTAATGTCGAATTTAGTGCAGCGTTTTCCAATAGAGGCCCAAGTGGGGAGCTCGTACAATATACGTTTTGCGTATACATGGTCAGTCGCAAAGTAAACAGGTCAAAGAAAAAGTGAACCAACATTTTTTGTTGGATGGCCTCTGCGTCGGCATCCGCTGTCCCTTCATGGCCAAATGTAGTTTACCGAGATAGTCATATGGTGTCACATCAGGAGAATGTGTGGAGTGGTTGATGGTTAAAATGCCATTTTTGTCAAAAAAATCGGACACAAGCGTCCATCGATGAGATTTTTCGTTATCGTGCAACAAGCGCCAGTTTCATTCTTCGCGATATTCTGGCCGAACACGGCGAATGCGTGAAAAATACTCTTTGTGAATAATTCCCTGCGAATCTTAGAAACAAATCAACATTGTCTGCACTTTGGACTTTTCTAAACGGCTTTTTTTCGGATTTGGCTCGCTTGGGTTCTTCCATTCAGCACTTTGACGCTTGGTTTCAGGATCGTATTGAAAACACCTCGTTTCGTCGCCAGTCACAATGTTGTACAGAAAGTCTTTTTTGGCCTCTTGAATGATGTCTCTCAAATGTTGAATTCGAAGCAATTTTTGGTCATCCATGAGCCTGTGCGGAACAAACCGTGACACACCTTTCTCATGCCCAAATTCTTGGTCAAAATGCGATGGATTGAATCTTTAGAGATATTTAAGTCCATCTCTATATATCTCAATGAAGACTTTGGATCACATATATTGGCTGGCCAACATGTTCGTCATCGTCCAGTGACTCACGACCCTCTTTGAACCGTGCAAACCACTCGTGGACTCAGTTACGAGATAAACAATCATCATCATACACTTGCATCAACATATGAACACAGAACTTAATATTGGCTCTTTGTTCGATGCTTATTTTTCGACCGAAAAAGGTACTGTCACTTTGAGCCCGATAACTCCTCGTGAAGTGGTTCGGTTGTCATGAAAATTTGACTGGTCATCAATGAAAGATGTACCTATCCGATAATAGATGGCGCTACTTATTTCGGATATCTTTCAATCAGTCCTGTTTACTTTGCGACGACCTTATATTTGCGACTTACGGACACAGCAATACGGCAACGTCGAATTGAAACAAACCGGTTGTATAATTTATGCAAATTTATGCAGACACGTAGTGAACGCTAATCTGTGGTCGATTCCCGCCTTTTATAGTATATGCTGTAATTTCACGCACGATCCAGAAAGCGTTTGAAGGCGGAAAATTTGAATTTGAGGGTACAGCTCTTATTGAGGTGTTTGGAGACTATATTCACAAACGATTGAAGGACGCAATTCATGTATCTATTATAAAACTTCTTAAATAAAGATTAATACGTTTTCGTATTACTGTTTGGTGGATTTTTATTCCCAGGTGGAAAGTACTGACATCGGAAAATTTTTCGAATTCGGTATATGTTTATGGGATGCTTCATCACAAAATACCAAGCTGCTTATTTCCTTCTGACTGTCTGCCTGTATGTCTGTCATCGATCTGTCAAATCCACTTACCTTACATGGCCCCAGGATCTTTTCTACGAGTTTTAGTATCAAGATATTTTTCTTTGGTCATAAATCGTTCATTAGCAAGCCGTTAATTTTTCCCCTTGAGTTCTTTCGACTTAGCGACCACCTTTGAACTATCAAAACCAAGAGGTTTCTGGTAGTTTGAAAGCCATTTCTCATTTAACATATGATATATATGAGGGACCTTCCCGAACTCAACTGGTACTATCATTATTTTTTCAGTTACTTTCACTTTCCACTTTCGAAAGTCAGATATGTTTTTTTGGAAGTTACTTGATCACGAAAATCCATTCACACATTTTCGTCATCCTGTCTAGCCGTCTGTCCTTTAATCCTTGTAACTCGAGAAGTACTGCTCGGATGGAATTTTCGCATAAGGTTAGTAGGTTAGTAGGTCAAGGACGAAAAGGCTTGTAGTTGCTGAAAATCGGTCCAGTGGTGGTGGAGCTCTGGGCCCAGAAACGAACAAATAAACATCAGAGGCTAACCATTTTTGAAATTTTTTTTAGGTGTGATAACGGGGAGGGTTGGAAGTGGTGGGGGTATTTTCCAAAAAAAATTTGTTGGTTCCAAATTGAAGTTTTACATCTAAAAATTATGTATTGAGTAATTTTACATGTTTCTTTGAACAAGAAGTAATAAAAACTCGGCTTCAAAGTTTAAAAATAAAATTTGCCGCCAACTGTGTAACGTATTAATATCTGGCGTGACGTAGTAATATTTTCTCCGCCCCCTTCTTAGAATGTGACTCTACATTTGTTCGGCGATTACAGTGTGACAAGGACAGGATATATTCCCATTTTGTTCTACAGACTCGTCCGGAGCTATGTGCGTTTTTGACAGATATTTTAAAGGCTATGATGCATTCTGGCGTTGTTTTTGACGATTTGCTATTGTGATTTAGCTTGTGCAGCGTGGTGCAGTGACTGATTTGGAATTTAGCTTTTTAAATACACAATTAAAATATGGAATAAAACTTCGTGAAAGCAGATTCTTCGAATTTACCGAAAGTAGATTACGAGATGATCGATGAATACTATCGCCACAATGAAGACTTTGTCAAAGCAAATTTGAGAAATGTGAAAACACAAAGGTGGGTACTTTTTCGATTGTGAGCAAGTATATTTTAATAACCATTCTTAGAAGTGGCAAGCAATCGCATGGGGATGAAGCTATCGGATTTGTCCAGCTGATGCGAGAGGGATCAATATGTACTGTAAAGTGCCAAGTAACTTCAGAACACAAGATCCATGAAAAAGGATATCAGGTGACAATCTGCATTACTGAGGCTGAAGAGAAGATTACACGTAGTGTGTGTCATAGCTGCCCAGCTAGTGAAGGAATTGAGTTTAATAATGTTGTGTCTTTATAATATACTATATTTTAATTTCTAGGAGGGTGCAAGCATGGTGTAGCTCTGATGTTTTGGCTACGACGTTCTACAGAACCTTCTGTAACAAGTGTTGAGTGCTACTGGCGAAAACCAACTTTAGCAAAAGTAGGTTCTTCATTGAAAGCAGCAAAATTGATCGAGCTATTTAAGAATGTTCCCTAGTTGCATCACACAATAATTCTTTCTTAAAAAAACTACTAGAAAAAGGATTAGAAAACAAAAGCTAGTGTATTTTATTTGAGTACTACAAAACTGAAGAGAATGCTATTGATAAAGTATCCCTATCATTCAATAAATAAATTTATAAGAAACATTAGCAGCATCACTGCTGGAAATGTTATTCAGTGTTGTCAGTATCCAATCCAATACTGGTACATGGTTTGAGATAAGGTATGCAGATATTACTGCATCGAAGTTTTATGAAGCAGCACAGAGTACAACATATGATGAATGTTTAGTGGAGTCAATTTTGGGCGCTGCAAAATTCAAGTCCTCAAAGGCTATGAAGAGGGGATTATGATTAAAGGATGAAGTATTGAAGGTTGTGGCAAGAAAGAAGCTAATAAAAGTATGATTATTTGTAGATAAGAGATTTCCTATATTTGGAGCTAGCAGTGATGCCGTAAATGCTGAGTTTTGTATTGAAATAAAGTACCCATCAAAAGAATCGACACTTAAGCAATACTTAAATGATGGAGTCATAGGTAAGAAACCTTTTGCCCAAATTCAACTCCAAATGCTATTGTCGGGCAGAAAGGGATTATTTTGTGTTGCATCACCAAATTTTGAAGTAAATGATGTATCAATTGTGGAAGTTGAACTTGACATTTCTTCTAATAGGATTTGCTGCAAAAGCAACTTTGTTTTGGGAAAAGGTTATCTTCCCAAAACTGATTCAATAGATCTACTGTAATGTAAAGTCAACAATTTACCTGTAGATTTGACTAAAAGACAACTCAGTTGTTCGTGTCTATTGAAATGTAATATTTGGTTTAAATTTTGATGTATTAGATTTTATACGAATGTATCAAAGTTTATTATACTAATATTTTCAATACCTACTTTTAAGTTTTTATTATCTTCAAATTTGTATTATAATAAACTGATTTAGTAACTGAATTAATCAGTTAACAATGTATACACTACAACATACACTTAATGGTACCAAGATTTGGGTACATATATCAGACAGAAAAATGTATTTGGACCCAGGCAACACCGGGTTTAGCTGCTAGTTTATTATATTCGGGTATCATCAGAAAATGTATGATTAATATTTGCAAACTGTGATACAATATGCAAATGTATTTAGTCTATATTATGCATATATTCTTGTCCAATTTATTTTATGTGTTTGATTCAGTAAAGCACTTATAATGTTTTAATAAAAGTATTTTCTACATGAACTGTTTTTTAACTATTTGCATTAGTAGGTAGGTAGGTAGGCAAATGTTTTATTGTATTTGTAGATATATTGATATATACCTGACCAGCTAAAATATTCCTGAAGTCCATAACATTGTTGATCTAACAAGCTTTTCAAAAATTGAATACACAAGGTATAAACTTTACTAAATAATTAGTTATTTTTATGTCATAGAGCGTTCGTAAATTCGAGTAATTTTTTTATTTTGAGGTTGCTAAATGATAATGTGTCGTAAGTGGAATAAAAAATTATAGATACTCCAAAAAATTATATTATGTAAAAAACAGCCTCAAATAAGTCCTATATACAAGTATTTTAACTTACTAAAGGAAAAATTGGTGTTTTACAAAATTATTCATACTTTGGCTTTATGGATGTGCAAAATGTGTAGCTAACAAAAGTGACTAATAGAAATTCACTGTGTTAGTATTAATATACCACTTCAGTTGGCCCAACTATTGAAATCTTGGTTCTTTTCTTATCAAACACAAATAATAAGAATGTAGCAGGGTGTTATAGGTTTAAAATATTAACAATGAATATTTTGATAATACATAGTTAGAAAACACCGACTTTATCACTCCCTAATCAAATTTGCAGCATAAAAATAACACATGTTGCAATTACAGCATATCAACCTATTTTCATTTCAATGCAAAATAAGTCTATAACGCATAGGTGGCTGTGAAAAATAAAAGCCATGACAATTGTTTTTATTAATCACAGCTGTCAGAATACGTTTAAAATAGTTTTGAGTAGTTAAGGTTTTCAAAATGGGTAGAGGAAAGGTTATTAGTGAGAAAATTCTGTTACTGATAATTTTTTAATTCTGGGAAATCAAACTCAGAAATTCCAACTTTGTTAGACTTATCGCGGCTCAGTGTGAGAAATATTGTTAGAAGATATAACGTAACTGGTTCAGTTAATATTAAGCCACGATATGTGAAAAAAAGTAATATCACAAATGCCGACCGAAGAGCATTAAGAAGAATAATCGTGAAAAACAGGCGTGCCAATTATTTACAATCAAGTGCTCTGTGAAGTGACGCTGTTGGAAGGAGAATTTCGAGGTCCACAACTCGTACAGACGCCCACAAACTGGGATTTAGCACTTGCAAGGTAAGTTTTCTTATAAAAAAAAGTGAAGTAAAAACCCTAAAGTTGCACAACTTGTTTATAGGCCAAAGAAAAGCCACTATTAACCCCACTGCAAAAGAGAAATCGGCTTAGATGGGCTAAAGGACACCTCAACAATGGTGTGCAATTCAATGGAGTGATGAGGCCCGATTCGAAGTTTGTGTTGGTGACAGTCGCAGTAGAGTTATTCGCAAAAAAATGAAGCATTCCATGTTGACCGGTCCACTATGGTCTGGGGCAGTATGTCATCAAAAGGAGTAGGAAAACTTCATTTTATTGATGGAAATGTGGATACAAACAAATATTTGGCAATTTTAGAAGAATCGCTTTTACCAGTGATGGAAGAATGTTTGACATCCGGCCAAGATTTTGTGTTTCAGCAAGATGGTGCAGCGTGCCATACCTCAAAAAGGCTATAATATGGATGGAAGAAAATAATCTACCACTTTTGAAATGGGTTTCTAGCAGTCCAGATCTGTCACCTATTGAAACTTTGTGGTACGAGATGCTCGTACAGTCACCGAACTGAGACAAAAGCTTCAAGAAATATGGGATTGTTTTACACCAAATTTTTGCCAAAACTTGGTTAACACTATGCCCCAAAGAATTTCAACCGTAATAAAAAATAAAGGTGATGTTACCCAATGGTAATCTTTCAATTGTTGCTTTGTTAACTTCGCGCATTTATTCGCACATTGTTTATTTGTTCAGATGTTCTATTAGTTATAGGTCTAAGTGATTTCAAATATGTATTTTTTACGACTAGAGTGTATCTAAAATGTTTTTGAGAAAATAAATTGTTTTAGAAGTAAATAGTTTCGTCATATTTAGTTTATAAAGGCATATTTTGGTACAAATCTTTAAGTGGGCCAACTGAAGTGGGAAGGGGCTCGTACTATTAAAATATGGATAAAAAAAAGACTTGCATGGCAATAATACTTATTTCTTGATGACCTGTTCTTGCAAATTTACTAAACCACACACACACTGATCACCACATGGTCTAGGAGGTGGACTATTCTAGACCGTATACAGGTATGTGGTTTTGACATAGCAAATTCACGGAGTCTCGTTATGAGCCATTCCATATGGACTCTCAAAGCAGCTATTATTTTAGTTTTATTAATGTCTGCTTTGGTGAGTTTTTGTTTTGCACTAATGCTTGGAGGTCTTAATAATGATGCGTTTTTTATTCAGTATAGTTTCTATATGTTTGAAACCTCTATCTGTCATTATTATGCAGTTTTCTGGAATCATATTAATGAAGTCTGATTTCCCAACAATTTGTACATCAGTTGGACGTCCTCCAAACCCACTAGAAATAAAGTTTATCAGCCCATTAGGAGTACAACTCACAAGGTACTTTATGGTATTACACCTTTTATATTCACTCCATGTAGGAAAGTTGCCAGGCTTTATTTGAACATATTTAGATGCTAAAAAATTCGTTGATGCTGCTCGAAAGGTGTCGTTAGCAAGCTTTCTTCAAAGTTAATTGTTAAAATCATGGTTCATAACCCTAGCAATGAACGTGTTTATATTTTTTCTTCGTTAATATGGCGCGTAGCCATTTTTTTGTTGATGTACTAATTTAGGTTTTTCTTAGGGAAAAGCGATCCAGATCTACAAGCAACGACAAGGAGTATAAGAATGATCGGTATGGTGATAAGTATGACAAGTACGAAAAAGAAAGCAGATACAAGGATGATCGAGATAGGTATTCGGAAAAAGAACGATATGACGACAAGAAAGACAGGAAAGACAAATACAATAGGGACGACAAATATAAAGACAGAGATGACAAATATGGTAGAGATGATAGGGAGAAGTACAAAAAGTCTAAACACAGAGAAGAAGAGAAGTCTGACAGTAGGTCGAAAGATAGGCGGAGATAAAAATCATTTCAAATATTATTTTTTCAATATTGTATATATGTTGTGAAATAGTCTTTCTTTTATTAATATTATTAGCTGTTACGACTTATCTGTAAATATTGGTCACAATCAAATACATATTTTTTGTAATGTTCAATTGTTCTTAATTAATTTCCAGGTTCATAAGGATTTTAAATAGTGTGACAAAGCTCATATCTTCGTTACTATTAGAGTTGCAGAAAAAAGCTGTAGGAGCTAAGGGCTACAACCTAAAATTATTTTTATGGTTTCCCATAAATTGGTGGCAATATAAACTTGTATTTCTTTAAATAGTACACCCATTTTTATTGATTTTTAGAAGCCCTTTTCTTGGCCAATGTATGGTTTCGGGGGTTTGACCATTTTATCGTTAAAATCATTATACATTTGACTTCCAGTATCTTGAACACTCTTTAGATAAAATCTGTATTATTATACTGAGTGATGGAAATAGTGGTAGACATTTATATCCAATGTTTTTTACGCACATTTTTCAATTGAGGCATACAGGGTGAGTCAAAACGGAAAGATATGATTTTCTCGTAAAATTTAAATGCAACACACTGTTTGTTATATCTCTATTCAACGGCACGAGTATTACGTACGGTAGAAAGTGACGTTATATCGATTTTTTTATACTGGTTTTTTTTACATTATGTAGACAGACAAGGCCCCATCGAGTGGCCGCTAAGAAATCCGCACGGGTATTACGTATCTGTGACATTATGGCGATTTTTTTGAAATTGTATTGTTTTTTGTGACATGCAAGTTTGTCTACAAGATGTTAACTTAGCACTCAGTTGTACGTGTTGCCTAAACGTCATGAGGCTTCAGTCAACGTTTGGCTCTGATGTGATGTAAAATCTGCTTCATAGATGGCATTAATGTTAATTACATATGCAAATTTGCTGGATTTCAAAAATGACAGATATAAGAAGTAATTATATTCACTATACACTGTCGAATTACAAGCTAACAGTAATTACACACAACGCGGGCGCGGTGATGATTTGCTGTATTTCTCCTCAAAGTTTTTCGTAATTTATAACTTTGAATATAACCTGTCTTCAGAAAGGACAACATATAAATAACCCATCGGGCACAGCTAATAGATATACTTCATTGGCAGCATATTCAGTAATGATTTCCGCACACAGCAAATATCACTG